AGAACCTACTGGGTTCATTAAATCAAACATATGAGATATTATAGGATTGTCTATTTTGAACTTAAAATATAGTGCAACTATTTCGGGTTTCTTCTGGTTTGTGTTAGAATATTTTTTATAATATAATCTTATGTTTTCAGGGTGGGTAAAATCTTGACTATAATATTTATTTCTGTCATCTGTATAATAATATACTATTCTCGTTTTTTCTATTGCATTATATCTTTTATATCTATAATAATCTAAATATAATGTTAGCTTTTGTTCATCTACATGTGGTGTTCTGTCGTCATCTCCATAGTCATAATAATATGGTGCTGGAGCTGGGTTAGGCAATGTCATATCTGCCATTTCATAAACTCTTAAATATTTCTTTTGTTCGTCTCCATATAAGTTTAAGTAACAGTTGTTGTCTAATGGAACTTTAACTTGTGTACCATTATTCTTTTTATAGCTTACATACATTTCATTGTTATTTTTCGGAATGAGTTTACACCGTGTACCATTTTTTAAGGACTGTACAAACTGCCATCTAAAATATTTATTTTCTTCATTGACAGAAAAGTCACCAACAATAGTTTCAGTATTTTTTGTTGTTCCTATCAAACTTTGGTATATTTCGTTAACATATTCTTTATCCGCTTTCTTCTCTAACTCATTATTAACATAAGTTTTATCCGCTTTAAGGTCTAAACATCCTGAAACCCATCCTGTATCAGCTTTAACTTTCAAAGTCTCCGATGTCCATTCATGATACCATTCAACCCTTTCTTTAATTTCATTATCTTTTTCATCCACATAAACCAAATTTGCCTTCTTATTTAACTCATCGTTAACATATTCCTTATCCGCCTTCTTCATTATGTCATTTAGGAAACCTTCTATGAATTCCTCATTTAAATTAAATCTTCCAATCTTCAAAACTTTAGGAAATGCATTTAATGCGTAATATCTCTGTTCTTCTGGTGGAATTGATGTTATATCATCCGTTTACCTTTAATTTTAGAATTCATAAATAAAATTTCTTTTATATTTGATATCACTGCACCACCCTTGCAAACGAATTCGAAATGGTCATTTTTCAATACTATCTCCAAATCTCCATATTTCAACCTTTGCGTTTGTTCTGCCGTCTTTGAATTATATGCATATATGGCGTATGTAATGGTCTGAAGGACCTGGGTGTTTTGCGCCTTAAGTTGTTGTGGTTGCTGTTGTTTAATCATTTATTATGATTTAAAAATAAATATTTAATCTGTTATCTCATCAGCTATTTTTTCTATTTGAAATTGCCATAATATTTCATTCATGAATTCTAAATCACAATCAAATAGGTCAGTTATTCTAAATTTAATATTTGATAAATCTTTTGAATGAAGAATAAATGAATTCCCGGATAATTGAAACGGATATGATAAAGAAAATGTGTTTAAGTTGATGGATAAAATGTTTTGTATTGATGGGTAAGAGTTAGGGTCTAATGTTTGATGTGAAAATCTCATTGGGTATTAACTTTATCACATTTGATTAAAATGAAATTGGAATCAGTGTCAGAATACAAAACATCCCCAACATCTTTTTCAAAATTTAATATCCCCAACAATGAACGAAGATGAGGAGTACAAAATTTAATTTTCAGCGGGAATTTAATAAGGTTATTTATTTCATCAAGTTCAAAAAGTTTATCGGGTTTTGATTTAAAATTTTCTTCATACCATACGATAAATGATTCATTTAAATAACTTAAAATCATGTTAATATCCCATTTCGCTATCACATTATTTATATACATATCATACGTTTTTTCAAGGTCATCTTTAATAAATGATATATAATCTGAAGGGTCTAAAAGAATGGGATTAAATTTACCACTCACAGAAACGAGAGTAACATTATAAATTCCGCAAACTGTTAAATTTAATTCACACTTATTATTCGAAATAATATTGATAATTGACATTTTTATTACGATTAAAAATATGGTAAAGCGTTATTTTCCAGTGATAAATAAAACTAGAATAAGATTACCTCAAGAATTCATAAATTCAACGAATAAGAAATTCATTCATGTTATAAATTTTAGTGTTTTCAGAAAATATGAGTCAGTGTCATATTCATCAACAGGTTATATTTCACTTCATTCAAATTTAGTTCAATCAAACCCATATAATGATCATTTCATAAGATTTTCAGATGGTATTAAAAATGTAATTGATAGATTAAAATATGAACAGATTGACAATATCGAATTTTTGGAATTTTGGTTTAAATATCCCGATGGAAAAAAGATTGAAGTTAAAGATAAAGCTGATACTATAACAAAAACAATTACAATGACCGATCCGGATAGTGGGGAACAAAAAGAAATAAAACAAACGATAGAAACTGGTGAAAGGTCAATTATTATCGATTATGATTCAAAGGATTATTATTCAATAATGTTAATGCTTGAATATTAAATAGTCTTAACAAAGAATTTTTCAAGTGATATTTTATATTCATCAACTATTTTATTATAAATATCATTATATGTTAAATGAAGTTCAGTTGTTGTTCCGTTCTTTGATATCTTAATTGTGCTAATATCCTTTATAGGATTTATTTTTGCAACTGTTCCGCAGCATGAAACCTCATCATCTATGAAAAATTGAATCTTAACGTCTGAATCTTGAACATCACAAAGAATGGCGATAATGTGAATTAATGATTCATAAGGTAAAATAATTAAACCTGATTGGTCAATTAAATTTATTATTGAATCTTAATTATTAATTATTATATCACGGTAAATTTTCATTAATTCAGAATTAATGTCTATTTTATATGGGTTCTCGATGTTTGATGAAAGAGGTGGGGGGTATGTTGGATAAGTGGGAATTTCAACGGGTTCTTTACCGGGTTCAGATAAAATGATTGGGTCTCCATTCTCATGTTTTCTTCATTCTCCTCATTCTTCGGTAAGTCACGAGTTAATAAATTTGGTTGAGTTGCTGACCTTGTTAATTCGGGCTAACATTAACTTTAACATTTTGAATAATTCGTGATTTATCATCATTTACGTTATAACCAACCGTAATCTCTGCTTTTGCGTTAGTGTTCTTTTGACTAGTGAAACGTCTTCTCATTATAATTGAATAAAAAAAAGAAAAATATATTTAAAGTTTTATTTAGTTGTTACGGTAATATCCCAAGGTTCATCCTTGTTTGCTTATACTTTCTTTGTAACTGCACCAATTATGTTATTGATAATGATTTGAGTTTCTTCCAGTCTTATTTTATCATTTACAATATCTTTAATCATTTCATTACATGCATTCTTAAAACCATCTGATTTTTCTAATTTACGTCTATCACTTTCTTTAATTAAATCAAAGTTATAACCTTGTTGAGAATAAAGTGGTTTCTTTATCAATTCCTTGAACGCTTCTGAAAGTGAAGATGAAGAAATTCTTGCCACTTGAATTGGTTTAAATTCTGCTTTCATTGCTTCTTTCTGTTCATTGAACAGGATCGAATAAAGCAACTTTAAAGAATTTCTTAGCTGGAATTTCAGGTCTCAAATTTGCATATTGACCATCAAACTGATTAACATATTGAGGTAATCCGTTTGGTCCTTCTTCAATAGCGTTTAATTCTTCATTGAAATAAGAATATGGATTATGACGGTATGAAAGAATTGGTCCATCTTTACTGTCTCCGATATGTTGTTTAACAGCTTTTCCATTTTCATCAAATTTCATAGGATAACGTTCATTATATGCTTTACGTTTAGGATAATCCGTCATTGTTAATTTATACCCATTTATGACTTTAATATTTCCTTGACCATCAGTAACAAAGACTTCATTTATTCCATCAGGCTTTCCATTTGGTCCTGTATGTGTCTGCTTCATGTGCTTCCCAATTTGGTCCATTGACGTTTGGCATATGCTTGAGCTTCTGGTAATGTTAAAACGTTTCTCATTTGTTTAACATCCTTTTTGAAGACCGGCAACAATGTGGACTAATTCTTTCATTCCATCAGGAACTTTCATAGTTCTATTATATGCACCCTTTTTGTTTGTTCCTTGTTTTTAATGGAACCTGTAGAAGATTTGCAATTTCTGTCATGTTTAATTATAAATAAAAAAAAAAATTAATTATAAAAAAGTTATTCGAATTTAATGGAACCTTTATTTAAATCAACTATTATTTTTCCATGTTCTCCTAATTGTTGATATTGTGTGTAAAGTTCATTAATGCTCATTGGTAAATTCACTTGATAAAGCATAACGTTCAACTGTTGACGACTAAAACCACTGAAAATGAAAAGGGTGGACAGGTTTGATTTAATGTTTGTGCTTAATGCTTTAAGTATTGAACAGCCATAAAGAATGAACATTGAATATGTCGACATTGAGTTAATAATTGATTAAAATATGATTTCTCATTAGTTATTAGTTTTGATTTCACGGCATCATCTAGAAAAATTAGTGAATGCAAAAATTCTCTATCAAAATTTGAAATAGAAAGTGTTTCAAATAATTCATCCCGTTGTTTATCATAATATTTTATCCTCTAATCCTTGCTTCTTGATTGTATTATATAATTCTTTATACATTAAAAAGTTTTTTAAATAATCTTCTGCTTCTTCTTGTGATAAATAAATAATTGGAATTTTGATTAAATGCTTTAAAGATTCAAATGTATCATCTGAAGGTGAACCTGAACGGTTGATATAAATTAACACATGTGAATAGGGGAAGTGTTAGCAATAATGATAATTTGTTTTAATATCGTTAATGTTTTACCTTTATTTTGTTTACCAATTGCTGCAGTGATTGAATTTAAGTAACATTCAGAATATGTAATTTTCATTAATTTTTCCTTAGATAGAGCATTTCTATTATCACTCAATGCTTCATTAATCATATCATCTATGTATGTATTATAACTCCTGCTAATTCTTCATAAGGAGTGTATGAATTTAAATCCATTTAATCAAAAATAAATTTATAATTTTAAACATTTCTATTCATCAATATTTCATCATATGAACTTCTATACTGTGGTGGTGTACCTGTTGGATGATATTTCAAACCTTCATCCGGTGTCCATGTCCAATACGTAGTCCTAGTAAACCAAACCTGAGGAGGATTTGTCACCTTTGAACAGTAAGTGTCATTTACACCCTGAATGATTGGATAAGCTTTCACTTGTACTGTAACTTGTGAGTTGAAAGTTTCTAATCCATCAAAGAATATACCTGCTCCATCACGTTGAACTGGAATAGTGCATAAGAATGAAGTTTGGTCTTTCCATGTTCTAGCTAATGGCGTGCCATCATCTGCATTCAGTGGTCTAGTTAATGAGTCCTCGTATTCTTCCGTGCATTCATTCACTCCATCTAAATCAGAAGCTTGAAGCATACGTGTAAAGAATATGTCGCCCACTGTGGTCATCGCTTGATCGGGGAAGTTTCTGGAATCTATAGTGACCTGAAGACCTCGAAGCATTGGATTTTCTAAAACTGTTCTTTGCATTGCATTTTTCGGAAATGTTAACACAACATCTGTAACATTATGAAGAGCGTATGAGAAATCTGAGCTGATACCTTCAGGAGTGATGCAACCTCCATTTAGTGAACGAACGTCAATATGTTGAGCTGGAATCATGAATAGATCTTCCTTACTGAATAAACGTGGTATTGCTTTAACTGATTCTTCAATTAAACCGTATCCTGGTGTAATACATTTATCCTCTAAAACTTCCATCTTTGTGCATGAAATAATAACATCATCAACTGTTGCGTCAGCAGATGTAGCGGCTAAGCTTGTAATTAATTTGGTAGGAAGTCCGATTTGTTGGAATTTGCGATCATATTTATAAACATGATTCATAATCTTTTCATAATTTTCATCAGTTATCTTTTCATAAACGTAATTTTGTAAATCAGCAACTCTTAACGGGTCAACCTGACAAAATACTAAAGTATCCCTGAAAACATAATATTTAAGAATGATTTCACCAAATGATTTAGGATAATCATCGAACGCCTGAAATGCTAACAAATCATTTACCGGAATAATCATATCAAAAGTGACATCAACTTCTTCATTTGCTTTCTTGAAAACTTCTGAAGGGTCAATATATTTACCACATACTGAGTTATCATATTTTTGAACATTATTATATAACGAATGAACAAACTTTTTAACTTTCCTTTCTGATTTTGGTTTATATGTTGCAAATGCGAAAGATTCACGGGCGCAATCCATCTGAAGATAACCGGCATCACCTCTTTCGGTTTCTACTTCTAATTGTTTAAAGTTTTGATTTGATGATTTGTAACCAACGAATAAACGCATGCATTTAAAAGCGGCATCACATGTGAAAGCTTTATTTGAAACTAGAGTTGCTTTAACTTTGCGTTTAATATATGTGTCACCTAATTGGTTCACATCATGAGCTGGATTTGTAATTCTTAAATGAGTTTGTTTATCATCAAAATATGGAGCATCAGAGTCATAGCATGAACTTTCAAGTTCTCTATAATATCTTCTACCGTCATTCTTTGCGAATATTTCATTTATCTTTTCGAATGAATGAAACACATTTCCATTAATCGGTTTAGTGTTTGGCACCAAATAGTTAGTCGTCATTTATTAATAAATAAAAAATCAAAATTAAAAGATGAAAATGAATTTTTAATTTTAATGAAATAATCAACTATGGCTGCAGGATTCTTTAAGAAACTGTGGGATAAAGTAAAAAGAGGAGCGCATAAAGTTTGGGAAACAATGAAGAAGGGAGCAAATTGGATATTTAAGAATAAAGAAGCAATTAGTGACGTTGCTGAATCAATAACGCCAAAAGCTGCCCCAATAAGAGAAATATTAAATAAAGGAGAAAAAGTTTATCAAAGACTTCAACCGATACTAAGATAAAAATAATATTTATTTTTCCACTATCCACCCCCTATTTTATTAAGTATTCCTTCAGCTATTCCACCAATTGCGTTACCTGCTTGTGCTCCCATTGCCGGATTACCTGCTTTAGTACCTAATACTCCACCTATGATAGTTCCTGCCGTTTTCGCTACTGGTGCCAAAAAGTTTGCAACGGGTTTAATAATATTTTTATGAACCCAACCTGCAGCTTTCTTAATTCCATCCCATAATTTTTTAAAGAATCCTGCCGCCATTTCTGATTTAATATTAATTAAAAATTCATTTCATCACTTATATTCTAATTTTTATTTAATGATAAATGAAACCGATTTTAAAAATAAATGAAACAGAGGAGGAAGAAAGTGGAAATGTTCAACAAAAAATAAACGTTGTTAAACCCATCACTGAAATAAAAATTTTTTCATCTGTTGAAGAATTTAATGACTATTATGCTAATAATAAAAAATTATTTGAAGAATTGACAACATGTAAATTGAATAAAATGTTTAAAGTTGATGGATTCAAAATTTCAAAAATAAAAGGGGTGATTAGTTTGAAATCTATTCCTCAATCAAGAATCACCTCATTAATGAAAATTGATGATTTAACAAAAAGAATAGAAGAGATTGAAGAAAGAATAAATCAAATAATTGATATCATAAATTCAAATAATCATTAGTTTCTTAAAGTTCTATGTTGATTCTGAGACATGAATGTTTAAAGTTTATTTTTTTAAAAATTTTTAAAGTTTATTTCATTATGTATTTCATTATGGTAATGAATCTTTCATTCATGAAAATAATTATTTCTGATTTCTTTTACTCGTTTATGAGGTCTTTGATTATGACTCCATTGATTCCATTCAGGATTTAAACAATGTTTAATTAATCGTGGAAATATCTGACATCATCTATATATAGCTTCTTTTATAAAAGATAAAAAATAAACTTTAAAAATTAATGTCTTACATTTTTGAATGCGTTTATGTAATAATGTCGCGCTTTCTTACGAATTAAAAAAATAAATTATTCAAAAATGTAAGACATGAATTTTTAAAGTTTATTTTTTATTCATGAAAATAATTATTTCTAATTTCTTTTACTCTCTCGTACATACTAGATTTAAAGAATTCAGAACTTTTACCATAATCTCCTAAATGTTTTCTTATCTTATTGGTTTTCCATTCATTATATGAAACTGTATAAACTTTATCTTTATCTTTGCATCTTTCATCACTTCCAATATATTTATATTTCAATTTTGATTTATTGGTTTCATATTCATTAACGTTTAATAATTCACAGTCTTCCTTTTTAAATAAATGTTTAAGATATTCAGGATTAACAATTCTATAATATTGCTTCCCTTTAAATCTTTGAATATAAACAGGAACACCATCCTCTAAAATTCGATAATCTATTTTATCTGGTTTTACTTGTTGGGTCATTTATGTAAGAATAAAAAAATAAATTATTTTAAAAATAATGTGTTAAAATAATGATACAAAATCGTTCGATATTGTATGAATTCTTACGTTTACAAAAAAAGTCACACAACCCATCCATATATACTACTATTCAATTCAGATCAATACTCAAAGCCCCATTATTTATTTATAAATCCTTGTTTGTCGCCTATGCGAATAAAAATTCTTTTTATATTTTAAACAATTTTTTTTCACTTTGGAAGGAGAAAGGTGACTAACATTTTAAAAATGCAAAAACCGACTAAACTATTTACAAATTCAACAGGAAGAAATACTGACATCTATTATTTCTTCCCAAATGAGCTTCAATTCTGCACATATGATTCTCTTTTCATTATTGATGGCAAAGAAATCAAGCCACAACTTCGTGCCAAAGATGAAGCAAAGAAAGAGTTTGAAGAAGCTGTAAATGCAGGTCATATTGCTATGTTTGGTGAAGATTTAGGTAATGGCCTCAATTGTTTCCGATTAGGCAATCTTCCTGCAGGTAAGACAGCTGAAATCCATCTCAAAGTATCATTTTTAGCAGATATTAACGAAAACGGCTACTTCTACAAATTCCCTCTCACTCATAAATACCAGCAAGGATCTGTAACAAATGATTACTCAGATAAACCAGAATCATTTCATTTCTCAACATCAATCATGACTCAAAAAGAAATGAGTAATGTGAAAGTGTCTGTCAACGGAACAACAAATGTTATTGACTCACATAATGCCACATTTGTTACAAATGACACACCAACAAAGGACGCAATAATTATTGAAACTCAAATCAAGGATAAAGATAAAAATATTGCTATTTCAAGCGATGGATATATTGCAATCACTACATATCCAAGCTTTGAAGGACCAATTACCTCAAATTCCGAATTTTATTTCATTGTTGACTGCTCAGGTTCAATGACTGGTTCTCGTATTTTAAAAGCTATTGAATGCATGCGCATGTTCATTCAGTCGCTACCTGTTGGTTGCAGATTTTCCATTATTAAATTTGGATCTAATTTTCATACAATTTTAAAGTCATGTGATTACACAGATAAAAATTTAGCCAATGCAATGCAGTTACTTTATACAATCAATTCAGACATGGGTGGAACAGATATTTATTCACCATTAAAATATGTTTCAGATATTAAACCAAAGAAAGGATTTGTTAAACAGATCTTTTTATTGACAGATGGGGAAGTACAAGACTCAGACGAGATTTGCGCAATGGCATATAAAAACAGATCAAATAATAGAATTTTCTCGATTGGTCTTGGCTCTGGTGCTGATCCTGGACTCATAAAAGGAATTGCGAGGAAGAGTGGTGGAAACTATACAATCATAGGTGATAATGATAACTTGAACCAGAAAGTTATTGAAATGCTTTGTTCAGCAATTTCTCCTGCACTTTGCAATATTACAATACAGAGTAAGAGCAAACAAACAGAGATGTGGCCTTCTCCCTGCCCTCCTCTTTTTCCAAAGAATCCACAGAGTTTCATTGTCAAATCATCTTTCACGGAAAATATTCTTATTAGTGGTAGTTTAATTAAAGAACAAGTTGATATTGTTGTTCCTGTTTCTCCTCTTGTTGATAATCTTGGATTACGCCAATTATTCAGCCGCTATATCATTGATGATTATGAAACACAACTTATTCTTAAAAATGACGACAAAATTAAGAAGAAATGCATCGATTTATCTCTTTCATCTGGTGTACTTTGCAAATTCACATCATATATCGGTGTTGATGATCAGTCACATGTTCGAAGACTATATTTGAATTTATGTACTTCAATTTGTCGAGGTGAGTCTTTAACAAATTATTCTGAAATTGCAACAAATGACCACATCATAGAATTTGATGAAATGTCATTATCCAGAAAGATTGCTGAAATTCGAAATAGGAGAAGCTCAAATTCATTAGAGCATCAAATCCATGACCAAAAGGTTGATGGATCCTGGAGTGATTTCGGCGAAATTGATAAAGATATTGAATCTAGGTACGGACATGTTGTTGCCTCTACAGTTGCAGCAATAGCATTCATCAGAAGAACATTCAAGGATCGTTTATTCGAGTTCACTCTTATTATAAAGAAAGCTCTTGACTTCCTCAAGAAGCAGGATAAGAATGTTGATTGGGAATCTATTATCAACAAATTCGTTTAAATCATTTATTTTCTATTAATTTATTTATATTCATTAGATATTTCAAACAAATTTCATTCATTGTTAGGATTGTTATCTATTATATTGATAAAACTTCTATTTATAGGTTAAAATAACAAACGAATGCTTTATTTAGCTAAATTTTAGAGAGTAAATTAAATAAAATGATAAAGAACTGATTTATTTTAAATTTATCAAATAAAACTCATATAATAACTTAAAACATGGACATTCGTACATCATATTACATGATTCAATGAGAGTAACAAGAAAATTTATGCGATTTCTTATTTTACATGATTTTTTGAGAGGTTTTCTAGGGAAGATTTTAATTATCATATAATGGAAATTAATTTTTAAAAGTTAAAATCTGTTTTTATATGAGATATTAATTTGAGAGGGAGAATAACCATCACAATTTGGCGTGTTTCATGGATTATGAGGGATGGTGTACTGATTTTTTGAGCATTATTCTCTCACAACAGAAGCTCCAATCACGAGTATCAGAATTTATCGCTCAAATTGATGAAATCAGAACAAATGGTAAATTATTAGAACCATTTTCTTCAGAAACAGAAGATTTCATTAATATTTTTTCGCATAAGATAATCGATAGGATATTAGCTATAAAACCGTCATCAAATGCCTATGCAAACATGCTAAATAGCATCTTACAATCTTATATCAAATTATCTCCTAATTACATCTTTTCTGAGAATCAGAGAATGATGAACTCAGTCTATAAAATCATTACAGCATCCGAAAACCTGTTTTATGACGATTATACTTCTGGAATTTTAAGTTTTTCGACAAATACATCACCATTATTCAACGAAAACAGGAAATTATTTACGAGCACTAACTACTTATCAGTTTGCAATGATCATTATTCGTCTGATTCTCAGTTTGTTTTAGAAATCGATTCTAAAGTTTTGGAAATTCTTCTTGAATTCCAATCAAACTGGAATGAAGACTTACTAATGAACATCCTAGAAAACTACTCAGACAAGCTAATTGCCTTTGTCGACAAGTTAAATGGAAAAAAGATCCGAGATGCGAACGATAAATCCATAATGCATTGTTTTTCATTACTTATCGACTATTTAGGCGACTCTACACTATCAGATGACCTCATTGATAGCAGATTCGAACTCTGCATCAGAATGTTAAAATCTGAGTTCCTTTCTAAGCAATTTTCCGCATTACAAGTACTCATGGCCGGCAAGCCTCTTACTAGAAACCAAATTGACATGGTTAGACATGAGTTTATCATTGATTCAATTTTGGAAAATCTTCATCAAGAGACTATACATGGTTTTGCATGGCTTTTCAAGTCATTGTTACGATTAGGACACACAGAGAACAGAATCATTGAGTCATTTTGGTTCAGAACCATAACTCAACCTTCATATTGTATTGAATACTTTACAAAAGAATGGAACACGATTGTTCCTGTTATTCCTGACGACCAAATTGATTTCTTCTGGAAAACAGTGTCAAATTCCAAAATTTTGCCAATCCAAGTTTTACAATTTTTGATTGACGTCAAAGAACACGTTCCAGAAGCGAACAAACTTGATGTATTCCACAGATTGTTCAATTCTAGTGACAATCAGACCAAAAATTACTCAGATATTCTTTGTAAAACTGTAATTCATTATATTCCTAACGACGAAGCCACGAAACAGACGATACAGAATATGTGTCTCTCATTACTTGAAGAAAACAGGAACGTTGCACCCGCAATGTCATGTTTGAAATTATTATGCAAAGATTTCGATCAAGAGCACGCGCAAGTCATAGTCAGGAAGATCATTAACAACGCAAAGAACCTGAGAGCCATATCAACATATCTTTTAGACTTGATCAGCGCGTTATTAGGAAGATTTAATTCCGAAATCACAATGGAAGACTACAATTTGATCAAAAAGTGTTTTAATTCATCATTGGATGTCGCTCCCGAGCATCTTGAGAAGTTTTTGAACAATCCTTACATTGTTTCAAATAATATTTTGAATTTGGACATGAAAATCAATTATTTCCAATCATTGACACGAAAGAAATCATTAGATCCTGGTTATATTAAGTTAGTTTTCACTTTCTTTAACTTAATTAACAAATCTAATTTTGATTCTCGATTTGTCAAGTGTCAGACCCTTGATTTACATTGTATTGATGGCATGTGGGTGTTTCTCAATACAACAGGATCACAAGATGTCGTTGAAAGGATTTGTCAAATATATAATTTCTCATCAGATCCAAAAAACATCGAGAAATTCATAGAACAAGTCACAAAAGACCCGATTGACCATAACAAGATAAATTGTTTGGAAACAATGATGATCAAAAAAGAATCATTGATAACAGGAAGAAATCAAAATAGATGGGATAATGATTCAACAAAACAAAAAGTGCCAGTTACAGGAGATTTCACTGGTTTGCTTCTTCTTCCTGAAACAATCGCAAGTGATGACTTGAAAAAGATATTTTCTGAAATGTTCGGCTGTTTGACAGAAAATTTGACACTAAAAATTGACAAAAAAGTTTGTTTTGGAGTTGTAAACCTCTCAAATCAAACAATGATCGAAATCAAAACTAAAAACAGCTTGAAGTTTGAAAATATCATTTTTCCAAGTCAAGTTTTGTCAAAAAGCGGTTTGTATCGTCGTCTTTTACCATTTTTATCATCAGGGGATGAAAAAATCGAAGAAAAAACTTTGAATGTTTTGAACATGTTGCCGACAATTAAAGAAATAATTGATGAACTAAATTCAGAGAAACCGCCATGGCAAACGATATTCAACAAGTCACAGAAATCAAAATTGAGTTATTATCTCATGACGATAGGAAAACTAACATCTACAGAACAATACACGAATAAGTTCTTTGTCAATGGCGGTGTCATGGCTTTCTTCGATACTTTGTTCTATGACAAAGATTTCTGTGGTTTGAGTTTGATAACGAAAATACTTCAGACAATTTTGACGGCTCCTGTTGGTCCTGCAGCTGAAATTGAAAGAGGAACAATGTTGGCAAATTTATCAAAAGAAAAAGTGATATTTATATATGACATGATTTCGGAGTTAGTTTTTTCTGATGAAAACGCTGCTGAGAAAATTTTTAATTTTGTTTTGTTGGCCGGCCAAACAAATTCTGACATCGTTGAAAATCCGTCACTTTTTAATTTAATCAAATCCACAATTTTCCACAAAAACCAAATTTTTAGGAATTTGATTTCTAAATTGGTTCATCTTAGAAAAGTGACAATGTCAGATTTCCTACCATTTTTAACATTATCTAAGAATAGTTATTGTACAGTTTATTTCAACATTTTGAAGGAATGTTCGATGAAAGGAACAAAAGAAGATTTCACAAAAATTGTTTCTTTCTTTAAAGAGCAATTTCCTTCTTCAAATGAATTCATTGATCAATTGGATGTCAAATACATGCCAATAGAGTTTATCGATGGAATAATTAACTCTCTAATCATGTTCCCAAAGGAATCAATGTCAGATCAATTGAAGTTAATGAAATTTATCGTTAATAACGTGCTTCTTAATTCATGTCACTTTTACAATGTCAGTTCAATTTACAGATTATTAATTGAACTGTCAAAAGACGATACATCTGTCAAAAGTGAACTGTTGAAGATATTAAGTGTTTATCACAAATCCTTTGATAACGAGAACACGAATCAAATACTGATGAATCATTCCGAGAACAAATTCAGAGGACTTAAAAATCTTGGAGCAACATGTTACATGAATTCCGCTTTGCAAGTTTTGTTTAACATTCCTGAGTTTTCTAATACATTATTAGAGAGTAATATAAAGAAAAACAAGGATGAATGGTTGGAAAGACTCCAAATTTTGTTTGCAAAAATGAAGTATTTCCCTGATTCTGTAATTGACACTTCTAAATTTGCTGAAAAATGGTTGGATTTCGATAAACAACCAATAGATGTAAGCAAACAAGAAGACTCCTTGGAATTCCTGCAAATGGTTTTAGATAAAGCAAATGACAATTTGCCAGGAATTGCAAACAAATTCACCGGCCAAATTGTGTCAGAAATCAAAGGAGTAACAACAGAATTCAAAACAGAAACTTATGAAAATTTCACAGTTTTCGCCGCAGAAATTGAGAACAAAAAGGATTTCAATGATTTATTTAGTTCATTCTTGTCTCCAAACACTTTCTCTGGATCTAATAAATATCTGGCAGAAGGAATTGGAAAAATTGATGCAACTCAAACACAGTTCATCAAAATTTTGCCAGAAATTCTGATAATTCAATTAAAACGGTTTAATTTTGACATGTCACTTGGTCAGAGACAAAAAATTTCATCGAGTTTCGAATATCCTCTTGAATTAGATTTATCACAAATAACAAAACAAGACAACGAAGAAGAAGATGAGCAAGAAACAAAATACAAACTAGAAAGTATCATTTGTCATTACGGAACAGCGCAATCAGGTCATTACATCAGTTACATAAAGAAATCAGTTGAAGCAGATGACGAAAAAACGCAAGAAAAATGGTTTTTGTTCAATGACAGTTTAGTTTCGGAATTCAAAGGAGATTTAGTAAAAGAAACAAAAGGAACAGAATCAATGCATTACGAAGTAAGTTGGGGAAGTGGAAAACCTTCTGCTTACGTTTTAATTTATAGAAGAAATGATGTAGTTCCTGAAAAATTGAAAGCAAATAAAATTTCAAAAAGTGTCATTGATGTCATAAAACCCATGCTTTCCAAAGCAATTTTATTCAATATCCTGACATCCAATGAATACTGCGAATTCATATTGGAAGTGTGCGACGAAGGAGACATTTTATTTGAGTATTTAACGAAATGTTTGACGACGATTACTAAATCAAAAATTTTGGATTTGATACAGAATAAATTGCAGAATTTAGCGAATGGAAAAGAATTCGCGAATTATATTCTCAGCAAATACGATTCGCATTTCAATTGTTTACTTAAGAGTCCTTCCAAAGAAATGAGGAATTGTTATGCAGAAGTTTTATGTCGAGCAATGCAAACAGCGGATTCAAAAGATGTTGAAGAAATGTTGAATTATTTGACATCGAAATTTGACGAAATTATGAAATATTGGCAGAATTTCGATGAATTCTTTTTACCTTTCTTGCAATCGGTAACATTAAGTTGTTCTAATGAATCAAAACTTATTCCTTTATTCTTTGATTTTCTTGTGAAAACAATTCCTGAATATGCAAATCAAAACAAAGAATTTTCTTATCAAAGAATTAATTTGAGTTCTGTTTTTAAGTTGTTGTTTGTTTTGTTGAGTTCCCCACAACTAAGATCCAATTACCAGAAGACTGTTTTCAACTCAAACTTCTTGGATAATTGGTTCCAATCAACTTACCACGCTTTGGCTTTTTCGCAGCTTTTGAGAAGTTTCGTAATTGAAAACAAAGATTTGTCACAGACTTTCTTCGATTTCTTCTCACAAAACGCTGACCAGTTGAGTCCACAAGCTGCTGCAGGCCATTTCTCTGTTATTATAGCTTCAAACACTGATCAAACATCATCCCAAATTGGTTGGGTTTTTAAATTTTTATTAACAAAAAGTGACAATTATATTACACAATTTTTGAGTTCTTTAGAAGAGAAAATCACTGAAAGCCACATTGATTTCATTAATGCCGTATTGAATTATGTTAATATTTGGTGCAATAACTGGTTATTCTCAGAAAATCCGTTTTTAAGAAAGGAAACGAAGAAATTCGTGATAAATGTCTTTGATTCACAAAACGCGAATCAAAGAGTATCAACATTAGTTGATAAACTTCTAGAAAAACTTCCTGAATTATCTAAATTATGTCTGCAAATTAAATACAGACAAGATTTTGTTCAAAAACAAATTCCTGCAACAACATTTTATAAATTGTTGAAATGGTGTTCGCAAAAACAAATTTGCTACAACAAATTTGTGGAAAAATCAAAATTATTATGTGATAATTTGATACAAATAAAGAATTTGAGATCGAAACACTTCAATAACCTTCTGGAATTGATAATTAAAACAATTCCAAGTCAAGTTTTCTTCAGAAAAGTTGATTGTTATCGATTTTTGTCTGCGTTTGATTCTTTTAGGTCTTTCAGTGATGAAACAATTGACATTGCAATTAATTCATTGAATTACGCAAGAGCAGATAATTCTTTAACTGTTTCTTCATCAGTTTTGCTTCAAAACGCAATTAATTCTATACTTTTGAATGTTAATTGTTCATCTTTGAAATCGTATCAAGAACTTAATTTAATTTGTAGATCTTTAGTTAATGAAGAAACTACCGCTAACAATGTAGCAAAGTTTTTGTTCGGTTCTCCTAATTTCCATGAAATATTTGATGAAAATTTGACAAATCCGTTGGATTTGACACTTTATTTATTGCGAGAATATCCTGAAACATCTTTAATTTTCATGCAGTCGAAAGCGAACGAATTTGTTCACAAGTTCACTCTTGAAAACATGGATGTTCAGACAGGATTTGTTGTTCTTAGAGAATGGACAGATTCATTCAAGACAGAAACAATAAACAAAAGAGATTGGTTCAGAAGACCTTTGATTCAACCAATTATTTTGTTTTGGCAGAAAAGTGAACTTATTTCTGAAATTTGTCAGCGATTGACGAAACCTTTTACGAATATCCACGATTCTGATGAGATGATCAACCTTCTTGTCTGTTTGGCGATGCTTTCTCCTTCAATTGCATCGATTGTAATTTCAGAACTTTCGAAATCGAAAGAAAAAATTGATTTTACAAATGAAAAAATATCAGTTTTGATTTCAATGGCTGTTTTGGAAACACCAGAGAGTTCGATTTCATTCTTAACTGATATAATTCCATCAGCTCCTGCTTTTGTCAAATCAATGCTTTCAAGAGCTTTGGCAAGAGTCAAAGCAATCTTATAATACATTTATATTTATATATATATATTATATTTTTCTTGTTATAAATACTTTTTTTTATTTTACTTTTAATAAGAGACTTTCAATATCAATTGAACAAATAAGTACAACATCATTTTGAATTTAATATGATTAATAGATATTAGATATGCATAGGCGCAAGGCTTAATAATATAGAAATTTGTATTTCTTCAGAACTCAGATAAAAGTTATCGAGCCATCCAGGAAAATAAAGTTTATGAGCAACAACATATTGAAAATATGGATTAGTTTGCAGAAGTCTATAATGGGAGCAAAAATTGAAAGTCGTTATACGTTAAATTAAGAATTTTTAAAATAAATTTCAGGAAGCATTACTACGCCAATCTGAGATTTTCTTCATGTTTTCTTCTTCAGAAAGCACAGATCCATGTGAAATAAGAATTTCGGCCGTTTCTCTATTATTGCAAACAATTGCTATAGAAACTAAAGTGTCGGTCATATCAATATTAGCATTGATATCTGAACCGTGCACTATAAGAATTTCTGTAATTTTGATATTGTTTTTAAATACTTCGTTATGGAGTGCAGAAAACCCTCTTCGTCTTTAAAGTTGAAATTAAATATTCGCAAAGTGAAGGAATTATAAAAAGTGGTGAAAATTGATCCAAATAAACCAATAATGCTTGAAGATTATTGAATCTTGCACACACACTTAAGTTTATTTCAATGCTGTGCTCATTAACCAAAAATGAAACAAAGTCAATGTTATGAGAAACATGAATTGAACGCAAAATCTTTCGGATTAATGTAACAACTTTTATAATACATAAATCTAAATCCATCCTTTACTCAAATTGATAGTAATTTGGAGAAAATTATGATTGCTCACTTGTGAAAGTCTCATACGTTTGCTAATGCATTAATACTTATTCAATTTTTTTAGCAAATCGAATAAGATTGAGCAAATATATCGAAGAAAACAACTAAAGTAGATGTAAATATGTTATCAAATGCATTTTTTCACACGGTAGATACGATTTTCGAATGCATTTGAAATAAAATTTAATTTTAATGGATGGAACTCTAAATATTCCACTTGATTGAGTGTGGTATATATTTACTACATAAAACACGATTACACCATCATTTTGAGCCTGTCTCAGAACCACCTCAAATTAACAGATTTGGAATCATTTATTGGATCTTATTATATTATCACTTAATTTCTGTTCTAATTAGTCAAGATTATAACGTAGATGGAAAAGAAGCTTCCCACAATTTTGAGAGCTTCTGACGTGGTTGTGCCGTCATTTGCCTTCGCCAGGCAGATTGATAGTAATGGAGAAAAACTTTTTATGCTATAGTATATAGTATTTATTTTTCTAGTTGGAAACTTATAATTCTTATCTCGGATATCGATTTGTTATTGTATATATAACATATTTTTCGAGTTCATTTTCATTAATTTGGGGTTTTATTTTCTTTCGCACTTTTCCCTTTTTACCCCTATCGTTTTCATTTTTGAGGTAAAAAAATGGCATAGAATTTGCTTAATAGTGATTAAATATGATATCACATACTATCCTGAATCTATATTAATAATTATTTAGCATTACCAGATTAAAAAGTGACTGTCATCCGCCATTTTTGAATACTCTAATTGAGAGTATTTTTGGCCTGACGAATATGGCTTATTTTCCACCTACATCATTAGCTGATTTTCTCCAAACTCTTAAATTGTCAGATCTGACATTATCACCATTGAATTTTTTTCCGAATAATTTTCATCATTTTTTAAAATGCTATGTGCATTAACGATGCTCACATCGTCTCGATTACAAATATCGAACCCGAGACGTATTAAACCCTTACTCAGACAAGATGTAAAAGCATATGATGGGTCGTTATCGATTTTGTAATTTAATCGTTATCATCTTTTTCTAAACGTGCATTTTCTTCATATTGGGATAATGAACATAACTTGTTCTGAGCTTCCAATGCACAAATCGTTTTTATTCTAAATGGATTCATTCCTACAAGTTTGGCAGAAATCAGTGAATATCATCATATATCGAATTCTTCAATTTGGCAATTTATTTAAAATCGTTCTCAAGAATTCTTATCTTCATATAGTCAAATAAAATGGAAATGCGAAAACAAACCTTTATTCGATATTACAAAAAAAATTATATTGATCGCTAAGATTTAAATACGTATAGTTTAAGTATATGTGGTATCATTATGTGCATATTCTGATATATATACTTGAATGATATCACAAAAATAACAGAAATACAAATCTTGAATTAAATTATATCATAGAATACAATTTTAATAAACGAAAAATCAAACCCTCTCGCAATACAGCCATTTTTAAGAGTAGTTCTTTCAAGATCTTCGAAGATTTGGAAGATCTTGGAAGAACTGCCCTCTAAATGGCTGTAGCTTCGGTATTGTTACTATCAAGTAGAAAGTTACGGTAATTACTGCCATTTTAAGAGTAGTTCTTTCAAGATCTTCCAAATCTTCGAAGATCTTGAAAGAACTGCTCTCTAAATGGCAGTAGTTTCGATGTTAACATGATAATATGAGTGAAATTTTCTTATTTGAAGTCGGTTAAAGAGCAGTTCTTTCAAGTTCCTTCAAATCAGGAAGGGTCTTGACAGAACTGTCCTCTTATTGATTGGAATACCGGTATTTTACGTTGGTAAATGCTTGATTTGAATTGGGGGCTGAGTGTTGGAGAAAAAAAAACATTAAAAAAAATAAAAAGTGCCAAAATAAAAGAATTCAATCTACATATATATAGTATTTCTAGGCCTGTCCAAACTTTTAAAAAAGCTTACCACGTGGAAGGAAGAGACCAAAAAATCGTACCTCGGCGGCTTCGCCGCCTCGGCACTAAAAACAGCATATCATATTTAATATGTCCTTTTTTCTTTTTCTCTTTTCCTCTTTCTCTCTCCTTCTTTTCTTTCTTCTCTTTTTCCTTCTTTTCTTCTCACTTTCTTTTTGGAGCTGCTTTACTTTGAAATCTCTCATCAATTGATGAGAGAAATAATAGTAAAGTAGCTTCAATGTAAATACGTACATTGATTGGGTTATGGTTAGCGGTAATGTCTGTATGTAGTTCGATTGGAGCTGCCTCACTCTGAGATCTCTCATCAAATGAAGAGAGTTCTCAGAGTGAGGCAGCTCCAATGTATATGTGCGTATTGATTGGGTTGCTGTAAGAAGCAGTGCTTGTGTGTAGTTCGATTGGAACTGCTTTACTCTGAGATCTGTCATCAATCGATGAGAGTTCTCAGAGTAAAACTGTTCCAATGTGTAATCTTGTGCTAGCTTGTCTGTTCGATTGGAACTGCTTTACTCTGAGTTCTCTCATCAATTGATGAGAGAAATAAGAGCAAAGTAGCTCCAATGTATATATGTGTATTGATTCGGTTTGGTTAGCTGGACTGTCTGTGAGTAGTTCGATTGGAACTGCCTCATTCTGAGATCTCTCATCAATAGATGAGAGAAATAAGAGTAAGGCAGTTCCAATGTATATAATCGTATTGATTTGGTTGCTTTAAGTTGGAGTGTTTGTGCGTAGTTCGGTTAGAACTGCTTTGCTCTGAGAACTCTCATCGATTGATGAGAGTTCTCAGAGCAAAGCAGCTCCAATGTGTAAATTTGTATTAGTTCGGGTGAAAGAAGTTGTAGTGCTGGTGCGTAGTTTGACTATCAAGAAGCTCGCGATTCAAAACTCATCAAATGAAAAGTTTATAGTGGGCTTCTTGATAATATGTTAAAGGTGATGTTCTTGTTCGAGTTGTAACAAGAAGGAATACATGAGTACGTAAGCTCGGCATTCGCCGAGCGAATTAAAGATAACGGACGAATTTAATTTATTTTATTTCAAAATTTAAAATTTTAATATTTAATTATATAAATTAAAATAAACATTTTTACAAATTTTTATAAAAAAATATGTGACATATCGTTTTACCACAATTCAAAATAATTAATGTTGATAAATGTATTTAATATGTAATATTAAACATATTTTGCGCGAGAAGTGAGTTGTGGTAACTTTCGTGGATATCCATCGTTCATTTTATGGTAAAAATTCTCAATTTGTGGGAAAAGTTCTCAATTTTGTGGTAATTTTTATGTACCACAACTCAATTTGTGGTCACTTCATCTTACCACGTGGTAAGTTTTTATAAAACTCTTTATTTACCATTGATTTCTGATTTAATATCAATATCTTGAATAATCAAGCATATCTATCGCTTTAAATTTTATTCTCTAATTCCAAAAAAAATTCAAAAATCAAAAAATGAAAAAAATATTTAGAATTTTTTCCGTCAAAAATAAAAAATGTTCCCACTGAGTGGTTTCCATGGAAAGTTACCACTGGGTCCCACAGGGATTGGCCTAAGTATTTCTTAATAGAATGTGAAATAAAGTAAAATTAACTATATTCAAAATGGAAAAAAATCCAAAAAAATTTTGAAAAAAAGAATTTCATGATAAAAAGCATAAATTTTGCATCAGAAAATTAAATTCAGGTATTTTTTTGAAATAGGGATGCGTTAAACACGCCATTTGACCGGGCGTACATTTTTTTGTTCGCCCAAAAATTTCGCCATTTGAGAAATTCAAAAATTAAAAATAAAATCTTAATCTTGATTTTTTATTTTCGTGATTTTTTTGAAACTTACATAAGCGATGAAATACTTTTTTTAAGTAATCGTTTATTATATATAAATATATCTTAATAAATTTAATTCCTTAAGGTAGAGCGTGTTCAAATTTAAAATCTCATACAATATTTTCTTAATGGCGTATTTTTCTGAGGTCGCCCAAATAAAGGCGAATTCAAAATTGAGAACTCCAAGGCGTATGGCGAGTATTCAAAAAGTACGTCACTTACAAAATATTGAATGTGGATTATCAATTTTTTGGCGTGTTCAATTTCAAATTTTGATATTTATGTTTATTTTATTCAGTATAATGCTAAGAATTAAAATATA